TAGAAGGAATCGGGGTTTACTTCAGAACCAATTCTTTATCTTACAAACCTTATACTCCTTCTATCATTCTCATTCCTTCTTGTATTCCTTATTCTACTCCTTTACCTTCATCAACAGCTTAGCTCTTAAAAATTAGATATATTAATAAGGACTTGAGTCCTAATTAATACTTTTAAAAGTATTGTTTTAAATTCCACAATATTGCTCGAATAAATGTTTAAAGGTTTTGCCTCTCGTGAAATTTTATTTTTCACTTCAAAAGATGTTGTTTTTATTTTGTTATATTCCTCCATAATGATATAAATGAATGGTTTGATGCAATATATCTGGGGATATCTTGGCATTCAGGTGTAATATTCATAATCTATATTAAATATTCATGATACAAAGATAGATTAGTTTACAGGACATATATTTATCACAAATATCCAATATTTTGATATTTTAGAATATAATATGCGTACATATTATAGAAAACTGTAAACATTGAGAACCATTTACCTAGGAAGAAAGACGACATTTAAGTAATCTTACTCGTATATAATGTTATTAATAGGTTTACAAACTTATATTGCACAGGTGATTCAATTCATGTTCAGACATTTATATAAAAGGACTTTCATTGTAACTACAAGAGATCATCCATTTTAATAGATATGCCCGATTAACAACTGTACCTTTAAGAGGTTTATCTGAATGATGTAAAAGATATCGTTAAATTAACATGCTACTCAATATATGAAATTATGTTTACTGTCTCTTTAAGGAGAGCTGAAACTAGTATTGAGAGGATTTTCAATTAATTATTAATTAATTAAAAGTAAATATCTATTTCTCCTGAGAGTGAAGTTTATGAATCATTAATTATTGAATACAATTTATTTTTCACTATTATCGGGTGTGAACGCGAGAGGGGGTTGGAATGCTTTTATAAAAATAAACGGTCTGATTTAAAGGGAGTGACCGGCACTGTATGGTGGTTGAACTGAATATGTAGTATTTTTGACAAATATTTTAGGATTCATTTGAGACATGAAAAACGTTTCTACGACGTATATTTACTGAGTTTGAGCGCAAAGTTGACGTTCAAAATCATGAATTTGGGTGGGTACGTTTTCAGAATTAAAAATTATTAAATAACGACGACCAAAAATGTAAACAAAATTCTACAGTAAGCCAATTAGTTGTTTAGGGACAGGTTGAAAAAAATAAAAATTAACATCAAAAATAAGTAATCTTATTCAATTATTAGTTTCTATAATCTCTCATTGTTCACAAAGATTTTCTGTAGATTTTCTGGAATTTTTATTGAAAAGACGACATTTTAAGAATTTGTAGAAAATTCATAGACAATACGAAGTTCAATATAATGATGAAAAAGAAATAATTGATTCTAACATTGATTTATGGACAAATTTCTTTTGAGAAATATGTTTTTAAACATCTAATTAGTTTATCATCGTTTCTTAATCATTTTCAAAAAAACGATACTGAAAACGTACCCACCCAAATTCATGATTTTGAACGTTGACTTTGCGCTCAAACTCAGTGGATATACGTCGTAGAAACGTTTTATATGTCTCAAATAAATCCTAAAAATCCCAAACTACTACATATTAAGTTCAACCACCATACATTGCCAGTCACTCCCTTTCAAGTCTTCAATTTAGAACCCGTTTTTGCAACTTTCGTATTTGCTATTTTACACATTACGCTGTATTTTAATAATCCAAAAGTTCTCTTGCGTTATTTATTATACGTATCTCTCATGATAGAGTCTGAGATACAAATTTGGCGAAACATATTTGGATACATGAATCACTTTATTGTTGTTAGTTTGACGTGGATTTCATCAACACTGTCCACTTCGCCATAATAACATTATACACTTTGGACCATTAAACCATAAGAAATAACCCCCACCCCCAAATCAATTGACCATGGCAACCTAATTTCTTCGGTCAAATGAGCATTACTTCATGCAGGCTTGAAAATACTTATAAATAAAATGAGATATAGTTTACTTAAATCAATATTTTAAAAGGGACGGTTTGAAACATTTCTAATTTACATATTTTACACAATGGTTTGAAATATTCAATTTGAAATCTATAAAACGATGTTTCCCCATTATTTTATAGCTAAAAGATGTTTTAAACACAAACTTTTCTCATATCTTTCTTCAAAATATTACAAAACTTAAAATAAAAGAATAAATTTATTGGTTCTAAAAATGTTCAACAACTTTATTTCAACATTTACAATTTCAAGGGGGTTTCTATAGACCTAATGCATAAAAGTATTTCAGATTTTATTGTCTTTGAATTTATTTTTATAACAATGTAGACGGCTTCAACTTTTGCAAGGGGGTTAGTTCAGGATTTCTAATTATTTTTACTTTTTATTTCATAAAAATAAAAATAATAAATATTGAAAAAATAAAAATTGAAAAAATAGAAACAGGGCAAAAAATGGAAGTTTTTAAACTCACAAAACCATTGGAAAACAAATATTTTCTAACATTTTAATTTTGAAAGAAAGAATTAAATTTTGTATAAATGTTCTGCAGATATTTGGACCGCAGAGAATTGGAAAACTGGTTCAGATTATTGGAGGAGTAGGATAAGGT